TTTTTTTCTCTGTATCTATGAAGCGCCTTGAGGCGACTTATGTTGTGATTTGGCGCTATATAAATAAAATTGAATTGAATTGAAATTGAATTGAATTGAATTTTTAGGTTTTCAGTCATCCAGGTCATACTAGTCTTAAGAGCTTGGTAGAAGGTGAGGGGTCCAGTTTGTTTAGTCACTCTTAAGACTAGCATTGCAATCCTTTCTGCTAATTGTGCACCTGCACTCTTCTACTTTAATCACGTATATTTTCCCAGTTTGACTGTGCCCTTGCAGCAACTTGATTCTTTTCTTTTTCAGCCATTCTGTTGCAGATTTGCTGCTGTGCTTCAGATCATTGTCCTGCTGCATGACCCAGTTTGGACCTTGTTCAGTCTTTTATAATTGTACTTTAACATGCTGATACAGTGCTATGGTGCAGAGTTAAGATAACTGATATGGTGGAGTTGCAAAAAGCATGGTAATCATTTCTCCTAGTGCTGCAGCTGCACAGTCTTCTGATCCACTTTACTGATAAAAAGCATGCATAGTTTACCATTTTTACTAAAAATGCTTGAATAATCTAGCAATTTTTTGCAGCGATATATAGGGAAGGCTAAGCTAAGGCTACAGCTAGCAGCTTTAGCCTAGCCGTCTCTGTATGAAAGGTGTCAGAACAGAAGCTAACAAAGTTCTGTTTTAATTAGAAATTTTTGAGCCCAAAAATTGTCTTTAGTTTATATAGTAAATTTATATCTGTTCCAAACAACTGTTAACTGTTTCCTTGATTACTAAAAACTGCCATATTGAGCCATATTGTTTGAGCCCTAATTTAAAGTGACATTGTAACCAGTTAGGCCAAAGAGAAATTTACTGATACTGTTAAAGTCCTGTGAAAATCTAAGCACAACCCATAGCAGAAATAACTTGAAGTAATTATTTCTGTATGGCTTTATCATTTTCTGAGATTGTTAGGAATTTTCTGTATGCAAAGTCGCAGGCAAATCTGAAGAATAAAACTGCTATAATGATTTCTTTAGAGATGCATTAGAAGGCAATCTTGAAGCTATGGATGCACTCTTAGATCACACCTTTTTAATCTGCCTCTTGTTGATCAGCATTGCATATATTGTCAATTGAAAACATTTCTAGAAGGGTTTCTTACCCACAGTGGCACAAGAGCAGGGACAGAAATCCGATCACTATGGCCAGAGTTCCACCCAGTATTCCTACCAACAGGTAGGTATGGTAAGATAGGAAATCCAAAGAGTTTGCATGTCCCAGATAATCTAAAAGGATAAATGTATAAGAAGGTGTGAAACAGGTCTAAACAAAAATAGCATTCACATGTGTTAATGACGGTCAATGAGGTATCTACCTCTCGATGAAGGCAGAGGGGCGGCGATCCAGTAGCCCAGATGGGAAGCGGTGTAGGTCCAAACCAGCTCATTTCCAACCGTTTTAACTATTCCCAGACCATGATTCTCCCAGCCACCTTCAAACAGCAAGGAAAATAGCATGAGAGGAAATTTCTTTTAAGTCTTTTTCTTGTAATTCAGCTGCTCTGCTGCTATTTGCATTGCTACCTGTCTTCTGGTTGAAGGCCCAGGCTGGCACAGTATCAGAGGCCCTGAGGTGTGTGTGGTGGCCCAGCGGCAGACTGATCTGGATGGGTCCTCGAACCTGTAGCTCCTCACCACCGGAGTACAGCAGGACGCTGATGGCTGCCACGGCTTTCAGATCAATACTTCTGAAAACTGCAAAACAGTCCATGCCAGGAATGTAAATGGTAAAGCATATTGTTTGGGTACCTCAATAAAAAAGTCATCCATCCATCTCCAAAGCCACACTTTCCAGTTCCTACTGGGAAATGCTGAAACAATCCCAGGCCAGACGAGATATATAATCTCTCCAGCAGGTTCTGGGTCTACCCCAGGATCTCCTTCTAGTTGGGTGTTCCTGGAAAACCTCCAAAGACAGGCACCCAAGAAGCATCCTAACCAGATACCCAAACCACCTAAAGTTCCTCGCCCTATCCCTGAGGCTGAGCCAAACCACCCTACTGAGGAAGCTTACCTCAGCCCCTTGTATTCACGACTAATGTTCCCTCTAAGCTGCGCACGTGTGCAATTGCGCACTGCTGGCACGGTCTCTGTGCACAGAAAATCTGCGTTGCGCACAAAAAAAATCTAACCTTAATTGAAATTGAAATTAAAATTTCAACAATTCTGTTTTGCAGTGTTAGTCAGTGAGTGACTGGCTGCTCCAGTATGGGATTAGAACGATGCCACCTTATCCCATAGTCCAGCCAATAATGCGATTCACATTCGTATATACGCAGCGTCGTTGACAGGCTATGACAGCGTCCTTATGTGCCGACACCGGTGTTTTAGCTAGCGAAGCAGCGTGGCTGATGTGGAGTGAAGCCACGTTAATGACAACGTGTACAACCATTGGAGATGTGAGCAGGACAGACGGAACAATTGACGGGAAAAGTGTGGATTTTATACCAGTTTTTAAATTGTGTTGATAGGCCACGTAAAACCAGAGTTATAATAAAAAAAAAAGCAATGTTTGTTTTCTTCCTGAATACTATCGTTGTTTATATTTACTGCGGGAAGAAATGTTCTATAAGAAAAAACGCTCGAAGTACGGAAGCACTCTCCGCCTGTGAGCAAAAACAAAACCAAAAACACCCCACCTTTTCCTATTGGTCGAAAAAAGTACCATGTCGACCAATCAAAAAATGATATGGCAAGTTGTTAAGAAACGGATGGAAGTTTTAGGAGTGACGGCGGTGTTTTGAGATGTGAGAGATTTGCGACATAGCGCAAATCTTATGTCGTTAGTGTGTAGTGTAGTCAATAGTTTTGTTGTGTGTCAGAACAATGAGGCGACTGCTGAATGTTACAGGTGTTACAGGAGTGATACATCTCCTGTTGTCAGGCCTGCAGCTATCAGGCTGTTGTTCTCCTTGATGCGGACAGAAATTATTTTTGGAGTGGCACAAATAATTTGTATGGCATCAAATTTGATGCAGAACAGCCGATTATGCTGTAAATAGTTTGAAATGTTTATTTTAAAAAAAACACCTTGGCTGCATTTTTTAAAAAATAGCTGCAAAAAACTTCGTTGTTTGCAAAACTCAGTTACTTTTTTGAAGAAGTAACTATATAATTAATTGCCCAACATTGGTCATTATATACTGTATTTTGCAGACAGAGTTACAGGACTCTCTCCCAGACCACAGACTCATACTCATAATACAACTCAGAGCTTTATAAAAAAAAAAAAAAAAAAAAGAAGAAATTTGTGTTTTCAAAATTTGAGTTCAAGTTAGTTTTACTTCCAATAGTGTTAACATCCTACACAGGTCAATGACTACATTTTTGTTTTACATTTTCATTGTAAGTGGGCTAAAGCAGTTAATTAAAAGTAGTCTAACATAAATGTAAATGCTGTAATTTGATTATCTTAATAAACCATGTAACTTGGATGGATTCAATGCTGGCATGACCACAGTCGTCTGCTGTTGCTCACAGTGGTCCAAGTGTCCGCTCAGGGAGTGTGTGTGTTCGCTCAGACACATGGAAAATTAGAGGGAACATTGTTCACGACCTTACTTTTTCATTCTTTACCTAGATTTCATGACCAGAGGTAAAGGTTGGGATGTAGATGGAGCAGTAGATCAAAACCTGAACCACCCTAACCCACTACTGACAAGGAGTGTGAGCTGGGTGTGTGGACCCTTCAGCACCACAGACTGGTTTCTGGGACGTGGAACATCATTTTTCAAAGGCATGATTGATCTCTTTCATTCTGTACCTCTTTAACTGGACCAAATGTCATTGTGACGTTTAAAAAATCTGATCAGGAAATGTTTTTCTTTACCTGATTTGTTGCTGATGAAGCCCGGAGTGCAGTTGGTGCAGTCCTTCGCCAGGTGGGGATGTGGTACAGTCAGGTACGCCATCACCGAAGAGATGTTGGTCTTATCCGGGATCGTGAGAATGTTCTTTGGGAACTTCACCATCGGCTGGGATGAGCTGTCTGTGAAAACAAAATGGCAGGTTATCAGTAGGAATTTGGGCACATGTGCTTTTTAAGTCGATTCAGCCTTGTGCACATTTGTTACACATCTGGGTTAGGGTTAGGGTTAAGCAGTTTGTTTCGTTTTCTGCAGTCTGAAATCTGGAATTTGTCTTTGCTGAAGGTTGACAGCAGTGATACCTGCAGGAGTTACCCTTAAGCAGCTTCACTACATTCATTTTAGAGAGGGAGGCATGTGTCACAGAGTTTAAATACCTGGAGTCAACCATCTCAAAGGAACAGATTGTGAACAAGAGTGTACAGGCAGGGTGGAGCGGGTGGAGACGAGTGACAGAGGGCAGCAAGAATGGAAAGGAAAGTTAAGAATATGGTTAATGGTTTGGACACAGTGGTGCTGACAAAAAGACAGGACACTGGGAGTAACCAAGGGAGACAAAAGTAGAGATGAGTACATCAGAGGGACGGTTTACTCTGGATATATTTTTACTGCTGTGCAGTAAGGCTGATGCACCAAACCAGGAACAGCAGCGCAGTGTTTGCAAACTATCCAGAGGGCTGAATCGTACCTCTGGGCAGACTGATTCCAGCCTCTGAAGCCACATGTTTAGACACCTCTGGGTTCGTCTCAGTGTCTCTGCCAAGTGTGTCCACTTTACACTGTCAAACACACTCAAAAGCCTACTTAAAGCAGTGTAAATTGAATACTAAAAGCCTAAACACAGTGTGTGTGTGTGTGTGTGTGTGTGTGTGTGTGTGTGTGTGTGTGTGTGTG